TGCCACCACGCCCAGTCTCAATTGCGTCCAGTCTCATTGCCCCCTGCGGGCGGGGTCGGTAAGGCAGGCCCGGGGATCAAACCCCCAGCCCCTGGGCCTGCTTGTAGGTGCTTTAATCCCTGAGCTATTTGGCTAGCCCTTAACAGTGATCCTTTGAGGACCAGTTGACAAACATTTTTTCCCACCTTGTTGATCATGTCTTCACTCTGTTGATGGTTTCTCTTGCCAAGCCAATTTTTTTTTTTAATTTTAATTTCAAAGCAAGAAGTGAGAAGCAGATGGAGAGATGTCCTTCAGTGGGAATGGATCAGGCCTTTCCTTTCCTCCGTTGCGCTCCAGCTGGAGGGCATAATACACTGGGCATGGAGGTGGTGAAGGGGTGTGCAGGAAGTGTGGGGTCTGCACACAGGTCATGGCTGGGGACCTGCAGCAATTAACTGGGGGTTGGGCAAACAGGAGAAGGGTCAGAGCACAGACTCTTGTTCTTTTTCTCCTTCCCTGAATTCCAGAGATAAACGGGGATGTGATGTGACTTTCCTACCTGGCCTAGGAAGAAGGAAAGAGGTGCTGATGGAGGGACAAGAGCAGATGCTGATAGAGGGACAAGAGCAGATGTCAGGGTGACCATCTCCTTGGGGGGATGCTAGGAAACCTGGGTCTTTGCAGTGGTTTCTTCCAAGCTTTGCTGCATTGCGAGCGGCCTAGGTTCCTGGTGCCGGTGAAACCTGCGCCTCTCAGCTCTCTCTGACCCTGCTTCTTCACTTGCTCCCCTAGGTCCTGCTTATAGGACCCTTGTCCCTTCACTTTCCTACAACTTTGCCTAGCTACCACCCTGCCCTGTTCTCCCTCCCGATGCCAGGATTTCTGTCCTCTGGAACTTGTCCCCACAGCTTAGCACATATGGACACAGGGCACACACTGGAGAACAAGGGCCTTACTCATCACTAGGTGGAGGACAGTAGTTCTGCCTCAGTGGGTTTGGAGGAGGACTAAGCAACACAAGGCCTGGCATGTGAAAGGCTTGACCAGAATTAGGCCCCTGCTGCTCTCCTTCAGGAGTTCTGATTTCATCTCCTGAACTGGAACAGGGCTTTCTTTACTCCCTTTCTTCTTCCCACTCTTATCCTGCTTGCTTTAATTTTTCTCCAAAAAATGGGCAATATACTATATGGTGTTTTTAAGTTGCATTTCATTGTAAAAGATGTATTACCATTTTAAAAGCAGCTCCATACCTCTCCTTTACCTGTACGATTGTGTTTAACCACTGCTCTCTTCATGGGCTGCTTGCGATCCTTATGGTGTGTGCCTGTGTGCCTGCAAGCTGGGGTCTCTGAGGTGGTACGGATGGGCCAGGGTACAGCCAAGGTCTCAGTGGTTCTGCCAACTGCTCTCCCTAAAGATGGTGCCAGTTAATTCTCCGCCCATAACGCATGACTCTGTGGTTCCCTATCCCTCAGGGGCTCATGGAAAAGGGACGCTCAGAGGCTGTCACACACCCGAGCCCTTCCCTGTCCCTCAGCACTTGGTACCCTGTGTTTCCTGGAGTTACAAGCAGAATGGCTGGGCGTGGGCAGCTGTGTTCTGCCCCACAGTCCATCACCAGCAGGTGGTGTCCCTCCCCTGAGCAGGACACTGGGGGACATAGGAGGTCACCAAGTGCAGGGAAATGCCCACTTCCTCCCCACAGGGCCCTTGGGGTCTCTCTGCTGCCCGCAGACTCAGACTTAATTTCTTTACCCTGTGACGCTTAGTTCCAGGGCAGCTTCAACCACCGAGGCACCACATGATTCCCCATCTTTCTTGAGCCTGTTTTGTTTTTTTTGTTTTTTTGTTTTGTTTTTTTTGCTGTTAAAATAAAGAATATCACTTGTCAGCCTAAGATGTTAAAAATGGAAGGCTGGATAGTGCCCAAAGCCTCTGCAGAGTGTTTTGTTTGTCAAAATGTCATCTCACTGATGCTCTCCTTACCCCCATTTTACTGGTGATGAAAAGAAATCAGAGAGGTTACACAAACTGCCCAGCTGCACCCCATGTGCAAGACAGAACTTTTGGGGCTGGGGAGACAGCCTGCGGCATAAGGGCCTCGCAAGCATAAGGTCCTGAGTTTGATCCCCAGTACCAAAAAAAGAAAAAAAAAAAGACAGGACTTCAGTGGCGAATCTTGTGTTCTATCAGCTTGATCTTATTGCAAGATTCTCATATGGAATCTACAAATTTTAGAGCCATCTTAAAATAGTGAAGTAGTTTTAAGAAGGCATGTCAGACAGATGGACTTGGATCTGTTAGGTGGTTGCTTGGACTCTGGTTTTCTCATCTGGAGTAACAGTACATAACTTTTACTGAAGGCTTACGATACAGGTGACATTGTGCTGCATGGATTATTTCACTTTTCCTCATGACACATCTGTGAGGGCTCACAGTGGTCTCCACTTTTCAGGTGAAGGAACTGAGGTTTAGAGAGACAACAACAGAGCTGTGGGTCTGGAGGAACCAGCACAGGCCAGAGATGTCTGAAGGCTTCAGGAAAAGAGCTTGGATCTGAGCACCTGGACAGGGAGAGCTGATGGAAAATTTAAGATTGAGTTGTAGGTAGTTACTTCACCTGAAACAAAACAAGTAGAAGCTGAGGATATAGCTCAGTGGCAAAACCAACTGCCTGGCAAGTACAAGGTCCTGACTTCAATCCCTGGTACTGCAAAAAAAAAAAAAAAAAAAAAGCAATTATTAACTCCAGGAAAAAACAAAAAAGATGTAAAAGATAAATTATGAAACAAATTTTAAGTGGGATTTAAGTGACCATAATAAATACTGATTATCATATAAGCAATATCAGGAAGTGATTCAACTGGAAGGCTGAGAAGGGGATGGGGATTCTATGCAGGGGAAGGGGTGGGTAGAAGACAGCCTTTCATAGGATGAAGTCAAGAGCTAGTTTCCAAAACAGGAACATCAAGAAGCTGCAATGCAGCTTGTTTTGTTTGTTTGTTTGTTTGTTTGTTTTATAGAGATGGATAATAGCCAAAGAAGCAGATCAAAAGAGTTGAAAGGAATGATGGCTGGAAAGGACAGACATGTGGCAAATGTACTCTACAAGAAATCTTGTAGAATGATTGGACTTGCATTCAATTGTGTATTTGTATAGCTTTGATAATTTTTAAAAGAAGCAAAGATAAATAAATTGCCCAAGTTCACCAGATCTGATGTGGGGGAGCTGGGGCTTGAACTCCAGCAGGCTGTCCCCAAAGCTGAGGCCATGGCACTATGTCATACAGTGGATAAAATCCACCTCCCCACAAGCGCTCCAGAAAACAAAGAAGCGGTAGACATGGGAGACCCAGCCCCGAGCCCACAAGGGTGCGCAGAAAGGGTACTGCTTCCTTTATTCCATGGGGCCAGTCACACCTGGCTTTCAAAGAAGGGTCGGGGAGAGCCCTGCCCTGCGCCCAGACCTGAGTGCTTTTGAGTCTTGCTATAAGTTTTCTGAGTTCCCCTACAACGTCCAGGATCTGCCAGGGCCAGGAGCAGCACCTGGACAGGGCTCCCAGTTAGCAAGTCCTCCCCTTAATAGAGTTTTCCACCTCTTAGCCTTCCCTCTTTGGGGGGGGGGGGGTTGTCTGCTGAGCAGACACCTTGCCGAGCTCCGCAATGCTTCAGAATCAGCATTGTGCAAGATGGGGCCAGCAGAAGGGTGCTGAGACACTGGCTTTGAGTAATTAGTTGTTTGCATAGGCAGGGGCCCTGAAAAAACTATCTGCCCAACATCCCCAACAGCCAGGAGCAGATTTGCTTTCAGGACCCGCTGGGTCACTGTCCCTTTCTCATTGCTCAGGCTCTGCCCAATAGTGGCAGCTACAAGGTTTCAAAGCACCTCACTGCGGAGGTCAGCTCCCTGGATGATTCCATATACCCTCAGGTGAGCAGCAAGCCTGCAGGAAGTCCTTACTGAGCAGCTATCTCAAGCAGAGGCAGGATGACACAGAGAACAAGGAAAACACCTGCCCTCCATTTCCTGGGCTGGAGGGAGAGACAGAGGCATTAGGGAGGACTGCAGTGAGCAGGTACCTGAGTGACAGCTGGGTGGGCACAGAAAGGGGTTCAGTGTGGCCTTGAATGAGGCACTCTGCAGTGCTGCAGGGAGACTGTAGTTTGGTTGGGGAGCTGCTCTAAAAGTTTCTCAGTTTTGGGATCTTCCAAGATGAAAGTTTTATGATTCTCCAATTGGAATTGTTCTCCGGCCTCAGGTGAACCCTGGGGGCCCAGGTCTCTGCCTGTGCCAGTGATCCAGGTTCTAACTGTGCTTTTACTTCAAAGCTAGAAAGGGCCTGGAGAACCAGGAAGTCCATTTTCTCTCCCCTCACTTGAGGAAACTGAAGGGTCCTGCTCATGCCACCTAGCTACAGAGGTAGGATTTAACACTTTGACCTCTGATTTCCATCCTAACTCCAGTCTGGGACAGGGGCATGGGTACTGTGAGGCAAACAAATCCCTCCTTTTACAAAAAGACTCCAGCCCCAGTAGCAGTCTTCAAAACTTCATTTCTAACAAACAAGAATCCAACAACTCTTCAATCAACAAACATCCTGGAGAGTAAGCCCGGGGAAGACAACTGTCCCCGCAAATTGGTGCCCCCAAGACCTCACAGTCTGATGAAGGGTACATGCACGACCACACGTAATACTTCTGGAGCTTCAGCGATTTCCTCTGGTGTGCTTGGCATGTCGCAGACGCTCAGCAAACGGTCCGGGCGTTGATTATTGTCCTGCTCAAGGTGGGTCTGCAAAGAGACCACAGTAGGTTGCGAAGTAGAGCGGCGCTCAGGTGCAGGCTCCGCGATCCTCCCTCCTGCGCGGGCGGGGCGGGGCGGCGCCTGAGCATCCTCGGCTCCTCCTCGGCTCCTCCTCGGCCAGGTCCGCGGGCGGCCGCCGGGCGCGCCCAGGGAGGGACGCGGGGTCGCGCACGCAGGCTGCCGGGGCCGCGCCGGCAGCCGGGGCCGCGCACGGGTTGGTCTCTGCCCTAATGCGGTGGCTGGCGGCGAGAGGCGCTGCAGGGGACTCGGGGGAAGTGGCGGCGCCCGCAGCGGACAGCACGGACTGCGCCCCGGGCCGGAGCCCGAGCCGTCGGAGGTAGGCCAGCGTGGACACCCGAGAGACCGGGTGGGGGTCATGCGGGGGTCACGAAATCCGTCTGTCCTGGTTCCCGCCTCCTCGTTCGGCTCCATCCTCCGACTTGACCCCTCCCCCTCTGGCCGCCTCCCTGCGCCTTCTCCTCCGCACCGCGGTCACCTGTCCTGGACCCACCCTATCTGTTCTGCCGTCGCCTCCAGTCACCCCGTGCAGCCCCTCCCTCGTCCACCTACAGCCCTTCTCGCTTAGTGCCTGCATCCCCTCCCCTTCCCGCATCTTCATCCTCTTTCCCCTTTCCTCTGTCCCTGCCTGTCATGCATGGGCCCTACTGCCCTTTGCCCCTATTTCCCGCAACACTCCACTTTTCGTTTCCCCACTCGCCCTATTTTCCCCACCCCACACATTAGCCCCCTCCTGTCCTCCCCCACCTCTTGCCCCAGTAGCTGCTCAGAGCTCCCTGGCTGTCCATCCTTCCCCAGGTCCCCTGCACACCCTGTCCAGCCCCGTGCCAGCTGCCCGGTCTCCTCAGCACCACAGTCCCTCCCAAGCACTACGCCTTCTCCCCTTGGCTCCTGGCTTTCCTGCCACCCATTACCCTCTTTGCGTTTGTCTTTTGGGAGCTGCTTGTACCAGGTGGCTTGTCCTCAGCTCCCTTGCTAGCCCCCCAGGGTCCTCCCAGCTCGAGGAAGCGTAGGCCTCTGACTGCTAGATGGACTCACTGTTGTGGGCGCAATCTACTTATAGCCCTTTCAACACCTTGATTCAGGCCACGGCCTGGAAGGGTGCTGAATGTCAGTAGGCCTCTTTGCATTCTGAGCCAGCCTGCCCTACCCTCAGCTATTCAGGTTTGTTTCCTAGATGGTTTCTGAGGGATCTAAGTGCAAGGATGGGGAAGGACCAGCTCACTCTGAGTCCCGTGAAACCCAAGGGTGTAAAGGACCAGATGAGAGCCCTGCCAGAGGGCTGGAGAATTGGGGACATTAGAAGGGACTTTTCTTCAGCCTGCAAGTCAGCACTTTGGCATCAGGCACTGTCTTGAGTGTGGCCCAAGGCTGCACTGAGAGTGGGCAGACTGCTGAATCACCTAGACTCTTTCCCCACAGCAGCCCCTTTCTTGCTCCAAGCCAGGGTCTGTCTGCTTCTGGTTCCTTCCCTGGCTCCTTTCATGGGCCGTGTGTGTGTGTGTGTGTGTGTGTGTGTGTGTGTGTGTGTGTGTTGGATGGCAACGCCTCCTCCCTTGGTTGAGAGGAGTGGATGACAGTGCCCCCTTTCTGCCTGTCTCTCCTCCTGGCATGAGGGCCCAGTGAGTCTCATCTACCCTTGGAACTCTAGTGAGCCTGGCTGGGCTCCAGACAGATCTCCAGCAAGGCAAGGGCAGGCTGCATGAAACTTTAAGCAGAAGCTGAAGCCCAAGGAATATGTGTGTGGAGAACGGAAGGAAGACCGTTGGGACAAAGACTGTCAGTTGTGAATGGGGGCTGTGGGAAGAGAAAGGGAGGTGAAGGTCTGTTCTGTCCTCCCTCTGGCTAAGGATGAAGGGTCTGGAGGGGTCCCAGAGTGAGAAGAATTGAACATGAGTGGCCTGCTACGCGCACAGTGTGTTCTCCCTTTGTCTGGACTGCGTGGCCACTTTGGAGGGAGTTATTTCCCTCCCTAGTCTTTGAGTTCAGCTAAAGGGGTGCTTGTGTGTGTGTGTGTGTGTGTGTGTGTACGTGTGTGTGTATGTGCACATGCGTGTGCGCATGTCTGTGTGTAGGAAGATGGAGAACACAAACGAGGAAAGACTTTTACACAAAGCTCCAGAAATTGTTTGTCACCATGAGACAGGTAATGACAGTTCATTTCCTGCTCTGGGGTCCCCAGCTAAAATCCAGACTTTTGAGTTGGGAGGTTGACAGCAACTGCACATAGATCCTGCCCCTTCTGTGGGAGGCTTCCTCACTTTGGAAATCTGAGTGGTCAGACGCCTTCAGCTGATGCATGTTAATTCAGTATGGGCCACAGGCTGTATCTGGCTGGGGGCATGCAGCCTGGCAGCTGGTTGACCCCTGCTTTGTCTCTGGCACCTATGCCCTCCCCATCACCGCTGGGGGGTGGAAGCTTCCTCTGGCATCCGTGTTTCTAGGCTGCCAGCTTTTCCTGGTATAGGGAGGAGGTATCACCTGCAGCTGTTGTCGCGAGCTGATTGGAGGAAGGTTCTGACGTTGAATCACTTGATTGGGGCTTGGGTAAAGTGGGGGATTCTGATAACAGCATACCTATTTCTCAGTTCTGGGCATTACATCTCTCCCTTCACCCCCTTGTTTAGCGTCACAGAGGATACAGAAGATGAAACCAAGGCACACAGAGAAAAGAATCAGCTCCCAAGAGAGCTGGGCAAGACCTGGCACTTGTGCTTCCCTGGCTCCCTGAGGGCTTAACCGGCTGTGCCTGTGATGGCTGATCCTTTCATACTGGGGAGGTGGCTGGAGTTTGGGTTCTGAGGGGGGCCTAACCAAAGCATGATCTTGTTTCTGCAGTGACTGAGGGACAGGGTTCCAAGGCTCTGATCATGCTGTTGGAATTAGTTTCCCACCTCTGGCGGGAACGTAAGGCTGGATACAGCTTCCTCATTTCACAGCTACTTATAAAGCTTTAAGTGCTCTTCTGCTAAGTGCCAAGATTGTAGAGTGGGAAAGTAAAACAGAGTGAGGTCCCTCAGTGCTGCCAGTGTGATGGGAGAGGGAGACAGGTCATCGGATACACAATATAGATGGGCTTGAGCGAGAGTGCGTGGACGGGGTGCTGAACTGCTGGATCCAAGCTCTGATGGTGTTGGCTCCTCTCACTCACAGCTATGAAGAGGGTTTGGTTGATGCCATCCAGAAAGGAACCCTCTTCATGGCTGTACTTATCTGAGTGGCCCCTCCCTACTCTGCATGTTTGAGTTAGTCCATTTTATTACTGTGTCTTCAACCTTGGAGCCTATGTCAGGAATTGAGGTGTGTGCTGGGCATATAAATTGAGTTGTGGAGAAAAAGTGAAAACAAATTAAAATAATTATGAGAAATCTGCTCTCACAGAGGCCGCATGGATTCCAAGCATAAGAGGAGCATGACAGAGGGGTCACATTGAGCAGAGGACCCAGGGTGGCCCCAAGGTGTTTGGTGGCCTGCTGCCTTGGCTGTGGCAGCTTGATGCAAGCCTTTGAGCAGTGACTCAGAGTGAGCAGTTGAGAGTTCAGGCCCGGATGAAGGGCCAGGTGTGGATGTATATGACCTGGAGTCTGGGACTGCAGGGGACAGCAGTGGGAGCTAATGGCTGTGCCGGGTGCTTGAGTAGGCACTTGTGCAGCTTTGCTGACCTAGGGCATTGGTCAGATGGTCCAGCCAGCTTGAGGTCTCTGGAGCCACCCTTCTTTCAAGCCAGGGGAAATACAAGTGGCATAGTACCGATAGTCACTGTTGTTGAGCGCTTCCTGTGTGCCAGGCATCCCATTGTGTGGTTTGAGCACATCATCCCATTTAATCATCATAAGCATTAACTCTGTAAAACAGCTAGTTCTGGTTTTACAGGTAGTAAAACAGACTGTGAGAGTTGTTACTTGTTTAAGATAACAGAACGGGTGAGTTGCTGAGCTATAACTTAAACCACTGTTTGTTTGACTTTGAAACCCATGCCTCTATCTCTGCAAGCCATGTCTGCAGGATTTATATTATTGATTAATTTCTTTTTTTCATCCTTTCCTCTCTCAAATGCAGTCCCCTGCAAAATTTGGAGTGCTTGGACTGCAGTGGGGTCGTCCTCTCAGGCCTCCTCTTCCCCCTTAAGCGCCTGCAGTGCCCCTCCTCTGGGAATCAGCTGCCTGAGCATCTGTCCTCTCCTCCTTCACCTGCTCCTCCTCACTCATCCCCTCCTGGGCTTGCCCAGCCCCTCCTGCAAGGCCTCCCTGGCAGCTCCCTCCTTATCATTATGATGCTAATCGTGGTGTTAATTTTTCTGAGATCCAGAAAGAAAGCCCCAATCTGTTCTAATGAATTTAATTAGAGAGGGGCTTGGAGGGCTTCAGAACCTCTTACCAGGATCACAATAAACAGAGTTAACGAGATAAACAGCCCAGGATCAGCTTCTCAGGGGCTGGGAGAGAGGATTTCTGTCTCAGTCCTCTGTAAGAAAGTCCTGAGCATGCACAGAGAGTTGGAAGGAGGCTGTTGTCTTCCAAGTTTGCTCCCTTTTGCTGCATTTTTCTGAGTTCCCCACATATGTAACATCATCCACAGTTCTGCCCTTAGTTGGTAGTTGAACTTTCTGGAAAATCTAATCATCCCCACCAGCACCACCACTTATGGAGCACTTACTGTTTGGGTCAGGGATATCATACCACGTTTCGGCTTATGTGACCTTGTCTCTACCCGACAGGTGGTGAGATATGTGTTCAAATATAAGGGCCATTTGTTAATTCCAGACAGTGTTAGAAGATGACAGCATTTCTGACCTCAATGTTTTCTTGTGATAAGTACCCAGTGTGGGTCTTGAGAAGCAGCACTTGAAGACTTTATGATCAGAGTGCTAGCGAAAGAGCAGGTGTGTTCTGAGTGCCAGAGTCCTTGTTCCTCTTCCCTGCTAGTGCTGGGGTCATTCTGCTTTGCTTCTCTGAACACTTAGGATGGCCAGCTTGGGCAGGGGCTTCTTAGGGACAGGGAGATACTGCCTTCCTGCTGATCCTGGATCAGGATAGACAATTGGACCGGGTTGACCAGAGGCTGAGCTTTGTGCTCAGAGCTTGTGACTTTCTGGGTTGAGAGTAAATGTCTGGCAGAGTAACTCCAGGGACTTTGCCCGGTAAGGAGAGCTCCCTTCTTTACTGCTGTAGACCAGCTGGCTGGGGCAACAGCACTTCTTTTTAGATAATAATTTAGTGGAAGTTTCAAGCTCCAGGATCAGTGCATTTCATAACTCTTCCCTTTCTATCAGTTCCTGGAAGGTGTGCACACGTATGCTGCCGATGTTAGTGAAATTAT